ACCAGAATCTAATTCTAACCTAGGCTAAAACTATCACTTTCCAGTAATCATATTCTTTTTATTGCTTCTTAGTTATTTTTAAATCATGTAATTAATTGTTGAATTGCATCTTCAAATTTCATTTTGCTTACTAGATCAAGTTTATCAGCAACTTATTCATTTTATTGATCACAGATAATTTAATTCAGAATATTAATATATAATAAATATTAAATAAATACTTACATGAAGTATGTTACATAAATTATATGCATAACTTTTTAAATAATTTCTTTCCTGTATATTATATGCAATATTCTTATCGTTTTCATGAGTTTTCTCAGCTTTTACAACTATTATTTCATAGTTATATTAGTAAATATTTTTACATAAAGATTTTATCAGAACTATAATTATATATCTATGCATTTAATTTCTTTCTTTGATAATCGACCTTTGTTATTTGTAATGATCATATTATTTAATATTTCAGTTCACAGGTTGAATGATGACAAATCGGGTATCAATTGGTTATCATCCAGTAATTCAGATGATAACCAATTGGTACCTGATTTTTTTTTATTTAGAAACCTGATTGCTGTCGTAAAATAGCGGCAAAGGAGTACAATCTGATTCTAATCAGGGCATACAAATCAAGCTCCCATCAATTACTAATTTAATACCAATAGGATATACCTATTGCTATAAATTTATTTAATTGTTAATACCTCGATTGATATCTTTCGATATTTCAATTGATACTATATAAAATAAATTTTTTTCGATTATAAAAAAATTTATTTAATAAATTTACTTATTATTTACTTATTTAGCATTTATTTATAGCAAAAAAAAATGAAAAAAGCTGAAAAAAAAATAATTTAAAATTTAAATATTGCATTGATTAATCGTCATCCTTCTCATAATCACTATTATATTCTGTCAATATTAAACTTCTACTTCTTCTTTCTCTATTCCCATTATCCTTCTCAAAACTGTCAGCATAGTTTCTATTATAACTATCATCCTCCTCTTCAACATTATTCGTATCTTCACAGACTGGAGAGTAGT